CAACTAGAAAAGTGGAAGGCACATGGGGACCCACTGAACAAAGGGTCGCGACCCACTCTTGGGTCACGACCCACCAGTTGAGAACCAAGGCTTTAGGTGATGGTGCAACGGGCTTCTGGAGGGGCCTGAGAAAAAATCTTGCACCAGGGCTCTTTGTTCCTTAGGTCTGCAACTGCCTGTATTAACTTTTTGGCTGACAATTCTTGGCCCGAATCCTTCAACAAAAGTCGGATGAAAAATCAACTTTTATTAAACAGAATGGTCCCGAAAGGGCCGCATACTGCGCAAATTTCGACCTAGTCAGCAGGACTTGGCCAAAATTCAAGCAGTACAGCTTTACTTCTGCAGACAACTCTCTGATTATTTCCTAAGGGAAGAACTGATGACCTGGAATGGACTTTACTGGCCAATGATTGTACTTCCAAGAAAAAAGTCAGTATCATTATCTGTCCAGGTTGACACTGCTCATTAACATATAGATTTATGTATTACAGGTATTTCTATAGTGCCGACAACAGTGCTTTACACTGTGCACATTCACATCAGCCCCTGCACTCAAGGATCTTACAATCTATGCTCCCTATCGCACATGCATACAAAACAAGGCAAATTTAGACAGGAACCAATTAACCTTTCAGCATGTCTTTGGAGTGTGGGAGGAAACTGGAGTGCCCGGAGGAAACCCAAACAAGCACAGGGAGGACATGCAAACTCCTTAGCCAATACCAGCATGCTTATTGATGCTGTAATCTTTCTAAAGATCTGACCCATATCCCATATCTAGGGGCAGCTTTAGATCAACAGCTGGAGAGATGAGGGTCCATGTACCACAGTCAATGAAGGAATAAAATCTGGTGACATCTTTCAGTCATCCTGTATGTGACACTATCACTGCTTGTCCAGCTTCCCAAAAAGTGCAATGTAAAATGCTACAATGTCGCCACCTAGTGTGTACTTGTAAGGACAGCGTTTATAGAAATGTAACATTTCTTACAGTTACTTTAGTGATGGTAGTGCTAGAATTTGGAACTTTAATATATATATATATATATGGCGTAAGCTGTGCAGTCCATAGAAATGTAAGATTTCTATGTTCCTATTTCCAATCCGCTTTGGGGTTGAAAGGAAGAATATCAATATTTGCTATTGAAAACACTTTAGATAATCAGAACCAATTAAAGTACACTAACCCCCTACTATAAAGAAGTGCTCCAGACCTCTTTGCCCCTCCAGCTCCAATGGAGGTTGATGTGAAGCTTAGCTGCTATCACTCTTGCATGGGTTGATGATAATGTTCAGTTTTTTGTTATACCAGCCATTTTCAGGAAACTTTCATTCTTTTCTTTTTGTGGGTGGGTAGTGTAAACTGGCCCCTCCTTGTCAAACTGCTGTTTTCCTGGCTGTCATCTTGACCCTCTCTTAGGCTCTGTTCTTAGGCTTTTTGTCGCTCAAAGCTAAGAGCAGCACAACGCTGAAGACAAGGAGTCCCCTTCATTTCTGGCTCACACCTGAGCCATTTGTTGTGCGTTTTGTTACACAATGTTTCCCATTGAAGTCCATAGGACCAAAAAAACTTATAATGTAATGTAATGAAGTCTATGGGACCAAAATGTAATCTGACAAAAAGCAGCTCATGTACTTTATCCAGCGACAGGGGTACAAGTACTCATGAGAATGAGAACACACAGATACCTATACATACGCAGCTGCAAAGGGAAGTTGATTCGGAGGCAACGAGCCTCCGAATCCGAAACCACACACTGAAACTGCAGAATGAGCGGTGGCCATATCGGTCGCTGGCACGTTCTGCTCATGTGCGCAGCCATCTTGGGGTGTATCTTGGTATACACCAAGATGGCGGCATCCCCATGTTCGAGCGCCACCATCTTGGTGTATACCAAGATATACTCCAAGATGGCGGCGCGCATGTACAGAACGCGCCGGCGGCCGATATGGCCACCGCGCGTTCTGAAAAGTAATTTATATATGCCTGAATAAAGTTTTCGTATATTCGGGCATTTAGTACATTAGTTATTTCGGATTCGGACGAAGCGCTGAATAAACTAAATTTCGTTGATTTGCAGGTTCGTCCAAATCCGAATGCACATGTCCAATTAACATGGAGCGAGTTCACGCACGTTTACACGCATATGCTTTTAGATACATTTGCCCTTTGTCCATTGAAACAGTCCATTGAAGTAACCAATGATATTTCAGCAAATAGACGCTCCTTGCGTTTACATGCATTTTGGTGCATTTAGAAGCTAAAACTGTTTCCTGGAAACATCTGACTTCTATTTTTCCTAAACACAGCTAAACTGACTCCATCTAACAGCATCTAAACACATCTAAACGCAAGATTTGAATGGATCCATTGGAAATCATTAGATGCATTTATATGCATTTAGAAAACTATTAAACATGCATATAAAAGCACCTAATCGTACCCTAGTGTGAATGGGGCCTTATGTGTGCAATTAGGCTATATGCCTCCATATGTAAGTACGTTTCTAATAAAGAGTTTTATACAGTGAAGCAGTGTGCTCTAAGGTATGTGTTTGCTCTCATTTTGGGCTGATACAACATATTACTAAGTACTGAAGAGGATCAGGTAGAGATTAATTCCAAATGTGGGCTAACCCTGCCTGGTCACAAAGGGGATCAGCGTTATCAGATCTACTGTGCAGGTCTGTTTGTAAGGTGAGCAGCACTCTATAGGAGATTTCATGGGGAAGAGGAATATCTACACTCTTATCAGTGGATGCATACTTTTGTTTCATGTACTGTATAAGAATTGTACGAACAATGATGCACATATTGCTTCATTTGGCATCCTTCCCATGTCTGTTTTGATGTGATACACTGTTAACACGATATATTGTAGTTCGGCTCACACATCTATTTAATTTAATTTCTTTGTTATGTGTTATAAAGCAACATTATTAAATGCGGATTTGATAGGATACTTTGTATTTAATAGCGTGGCACATTTATACTCATTTCAGAAATGTATATCTCTCTAGTGCAGTGGTTCTCAACCTGGGGGTCGCGACCCCGTTGGGGGTCGAATTACTATTTGCCAAGGGTCCCCTAGCAGCTCCCGTAAGGCTGGGTTCACACCTAGGCGTATTACGTATGCACGTCTGTCGCGCGACCTTCACACGGTTTTTTTACCGCGATTTGTGGTAAAAAAATCGCGCGACCGTCGCGCGATTCCGAAGGCTACTTGGCTGTATCCCAATGGAAAACGCCCTCCAAAACGGCCCAAAGAAGTACATGTACTTGTTTGGGCGTCAGCCGTTTTGTAGGGCGTTCAGACGGGCGGAAATACGGAAAGGTGTGAACCATACCCATAGAAAACAATGGGATTTTCATGGCGTTGAACGCCCGACAAAACGCAAAGGTGTGAACGGGGCCTAAAGGTTTACTCTCGAGAATAGTAAACCTTTCTCTGCGGTTTTTTTTTTCTGACATCAGGCCTGCTGGCCGCCGTCAATCAGAAAAAAACAACCCCCATAGGAATGCATAGCTAGATCCCAACAATAATACATTATATACAGTGCAACGCAGAATACCAGCAGCTACAGAGGACTACAAATGCCACCAATAGAACACTATAGTATAATGGACTATTGCTGCGATTTGTTGTATTCTTCTGGGATTCGTTGTCTCTTTAAGCAGTGGTTCTCAAGCTGTGGGTCGCTGTGTGATTTCTGCTGTGCTAGGTGAGAGTCCTCCTCAGCCCTCTCCTAGCACAGCAGTGTCAGTTCTCCTGCCACGCCCCCAGATGTCGCTGCAGCAGCCGCGTCATTCCTAAATCTTACCGTTGGGGGTCACCAAAACTTGGCACATGTTACCAAGGGGTCCCGGCCCTAGAAAGGTTGAGAACCACTGCTCTAGTGCTTGTAGCTGATAGGGGTGTTGTCGCTGAGGTTTTTTTGGTTTGTATTTTGTGAATACATTCTGAGTACATGTTGTATCCTTTTCAATGAATACAAGGTGTTGTTTGATTGGATGAGGGCATCCGGCTGACACTATTGAAGGGGTGACACCTAAATGACTGACAGTCATTTTGGTGTCACCCCCGTCTAAAAATTCGGGCACTCAGTCATGGACGAGAGCCCGACAATGTCAGGGGAGAGGAGGAGACCCGGAGGCATAACTTATCCCGCCGGGTGAACGTCCCCTCCTCTCTGTGCCGGAGTCCATCACTTAGATGGCCATTGGCAGATGTCAATTAGATGACCGCGCATGCGCGATGACGTCACAGCAGGGTGTCATTCGGCCTCCGCTCCAGGTGACACCCGGCCTCAGGACGCCCCTGAGGGTAGATCATGACATCATCCTCCCCTCCTTGTCAAATCCTTGTCAAATCAGAGAACACAGTGTATTCACTGAAATAAATACCAGATGTTTTCTGTATGGAAGAGGTGCCGAGTGAACAACTGTATTTTCACTGTAGGAGACTGGAAGTCACTATATTACCACTGGAAGATCGAAGGACACCGTGAAAAGAAATGTGAGCATCCCCTGCACTCCTCTGCTTTAAACCACTGACACAAAACAAGTATGCAGCGGACTTCTTCTAGGTCAGTGGCTCAAAGTACTGAAGACAGGAGGCCAATAAGCTCAGCAATGAAACGTCTATGTAACTCTCATAACAGGTTTGCTTAAAGTAACACTAAACTCAGGAGTTAAATCTTAAAAATGCACTTTAAAAAGACAGTTTAAAGTGAAATACAGTGATTCTCTGCATTGATTAGAGTCTTGGATTGCTGGATCAATAGACAGCAGTCATCCATCTTTCTGGTACATTTTTACACAATGAGTACAGAAGTGATAGCATACACAGTATGGCACATCACTAGCTCTTGCACTATGTTCTCAAAGTAAGCCTGTAAGCCGCAATACAGGACAATTTTGTATTTTGTTTGTGAGGATAGTTTGAGGTTACATTTTGCAAATATCCTGATTTTCTTTTACAGCTGTTGACTGCAGTTGTACATCTGGAGGGAGAGCAAAGGACTAAACAGGACGCAGTGGGGTAAACCGCATCATTTGATAGCGGCGACAGTTCCCAAGGATACACTAGGAGAGATGGATAGTGGAAAGTTTCCTGATTCATTTGCATGGGGAGCAGCAACAGCAGCCTATCAAATTGAAGGTAATCATACATTTTTTCCAGTTCTCTTTCTTATGACACCAAACCTGTGTACGCCAAAGGAGCACAGGAATAAACTGCAAGTCCTAGCTGCTGTCAGTTAGTACACCAGTTCTAATTGTGCCCCACAATTGTGTCATGGTATCATTAAAGTAGTATTAAACTCTCACAGGGTGAGAGTTTGGAGAAGTCAGGAGAAGTGAACAATCTAGGACAACATAGCTGAACTGGAAAGTGAGCTGAATTGGAGTATTTTTCCAAATCAGCTATGTTGTCCTAGATTGTTCACTTCTCCTGACTTCTCCAAACTCTTCACCCTTTTGTGAATAACCCTGTTAATCTTTTTTTTTTTTTACAATAATGAATCCAGATGAAACAAATATACACAGACACAGTCATCATGTTTCTGAACAGCCAGCTCCAACTCTCTTACCTGTGCTCTCCTGAATTTCCTGTCCAGTACAAGATCACAAGGGACAGAGCAGTCTCCAGCAGCTGTCCAGCTACTAGCTTGGATAGATGGAAAGAGAGGAGGAAGGAGGCAAAGGAAGTAGGCGGGTAACTTGCCTTGCTGTGTCTGCGTTTGTGGAGACACAGCTTACTAGTACACACAAGGATGGCTCCATAGGACCCTGCAATGAGCCACCCTAAAACTTGATATCAGGGCCAGTGCTCAGGGGACCAGCTGATTCTGCAGGAAACTAAAACTTTTAAACGTTAAGGAGCAGAATCCATTTTAAGTGATTTCATCAGCATTTGAAATAGCCTAAAAACATTATGACCTTAACATCACTTTCAGTAGAAAGGGATGGAGACCACACACAATATTGTTCCCATGCTGACATCCCTAAAATGGAAAACAATGAGCTAAAAAAAAAACATGGCACTTTATATTCAGCATGTTTTGATCAAACAATGAAAAAACAAAAATGATGAAAAATATTAATGTATTACAATTAAAAATATAACAATGTTAAAAAGCATATGAATGGAAATCCCTTCACCATAAAAAACCCAAAACAAATGACTGAATAACACTTTCCAACAGGGCAGCCATAATCTATATTTAATTATACCACTATCACCATCAGCCATTAGATCAGGGGTGGGCAACTCCAGCCCTCCAGCTGTGCTTTAACTACAAATCCCAACATGCCTCTGCCTCTGGGAGTCATGTCTGTAACTGTCAGTCTTGCAGTGCCTCATGAGAGTTGTAGTTGCACAACAGCTGAAGGGCCAGAGTTGCCCACCCCTGCATTAGATATTTTGCAGCCCACTATAGGTCTACACACGTTTTGCACTTGATGAACAAGATGTGTGTCACTCATGCATTGAATTTCATAAAACTGTAACACGCCAACAATACCTCACATTAGGGTAGATTGTGAAAGCGCATAAATGATGTGTGTCAGTGGCATTTAGAGAAGTTCTCCTCTGCCAGTTCAAAACATAGAGCGGAGAATCTTGCTGGTCTACATGCTTGATGGGCCCATACCACCTGGCGGTTTTTGAACGATATTCACTGGCATTCTTGATTTGATGTAGCCTGCTTGTGTGACAGTCTGGAGATTAACTGATGCGTTTTAACCAGCAGGGGAGAATTATGCAGTTTCAACAACTACGTTAATGTGAGGCATTGATGACTTGGTGCAGATTTATGAAATTCAACACATGAGTGACACACATCTTGTTCATGAAGAAGAGGTCCTCCGCTTTGGTGAAAGTGAATGATTTTCCCCTGCTGGTTCAAAACACATAAGATGATCTCCAGACTGTCACACAAGTAGGCTACATCAAATTAATGAACAGCATTTAAAAACCGCCAGGTGGTATGGGCATATCACACATGTAGACCTGCAAGATGCTCCGCTCTATGTTTTGAACTGGCAGAGGAGAACTTTCACAATCTATCTTAATGTGAGGTACTGTTGGCTTGTTAAGGATGTCTGAAATTCAACACATGAGTGACACACATCTTGTTCATGAAAAACTATTTTCCAGCCCTCCAGCTCTTGTGGAACTGCAACTCCCATGAGGCATTGCAAGACTGACAGTACAGGCATGACTCCCAGAGTGACACACAACTTGGTCCTGAAGTAGGGGTCCTCCGTGAAACGTGTAGACGTAGAGTGTGCTGCAAAATGATCTAACGGTTGATGGTGATAGTGCTATAATTATTTATAAATTGTGGCTGCCCTTTGGAAAGTGTTATTCAGTGATTCAACGAATATTCATTCTGGATATGGTTTTTAAAATGTTGATATTTAAAAAATTCAATTTTTATTATCATTTTTATTTCTTTTTTGATCAATGTGTGCTACATGTGGTAAATATAAAGTCCCACGTTTTCTCTTTTGTTAACTAAGTCATGATAAACCATCTTTCTCCTCCTTTGTAACACATCAGGAGTCCGGAAGATTGGCTATAGTGCTGCCATGTATCTGGCATATATATGAAATGTCAGTATAGCTGTCATGCATTGTAATTTCACTTCTCTACTTCAAATCCTGCAGTTCAGGATCATGAACTATCACACCTTCTGAGCGGAAGTAAGATCAGCTTCTACATTTGATCCCTATGCATGTTGATGTTTTGCAGCACAGTGACGGGGTGGAGTTCACCATTGCGGAATCTCAGCACGTTTCTGAAATGTCTTTTGGTGGACACGTTACACATACCTGGCTGTCAGAGCTGTGCGGGTCATGATCCACCACTTTCATACATCTGTCCTGGGCCTCAGAGAGGAGCACTGATGTATATCAGTTGTGTAATGTCAATATTATGTTCTTCTCCTTGCTATGAATGGGGCACTTTTCATAGAGGCGGCCAGTTTTGACAAGTTGAATTTTCTATTGTTATTTGTGATTTAATTTGATGATGTCAGTAGTAAATAGGGAATAACCCCGAGAAATGGAAAAAGGATTCCCAAATGGCTTTTCCCATTTGCCTGCAATATAGATTGATGCAGTTTTGTAATTTGCACCAAAACTGACACCTTCTATGTGATCTGATCCTAGAGCAGGGCTGGATTAACATAGGGGCTACTGGATCATCCGGGCCCACCACTGAAAATAGGCCTGGCTTGCCCCAATCGCCTCTGTATGTCTGATGGCAGTGCTGAACACAGTCAGGCAGAGGCGTCAGCGGCTCTCTAATCAGGCGGCTTCCTAATTAGAGAATGCAAATATGGGACATACCAGACCCTTGATCCGAGCGCCACCCCCTCCCTGGACCTTACCAGGTCACGTGCCCTCGGCATTGGGAGGGTGTCCCCATGCCGATGGGGACAAGGGCCTCTTCCCCACAACCCTGACCCGGTGGTCTGCGGGCACAGGGGCTTATTTGCATTGGGGTACCCCTTTAATTAAGGGGTCACCCAGATGCCACCCCTACCCATTCACTAAAGGGTTAAATAAAATAGTTATTGAAAAGTCCAGACTTTTGAGAAAATCCTTTAATTGAAAAAAAAACCAGAGAGTTAATTTTTGACTATTCCTTTAATTTAAAAAAAATGGCTCCATCGATGTAATCCAGCGTCAATCACGATGCATGACCCCCGCCGAAATAAAAAAAGTCCCGCCGCACAACGACCGTCCAAACCCGACGAAAACTCGCCGCAAAATTACATTCCTGCTCGAAAGTAAACAGATGGAAGGAGCGAGCCCATTTGACATTCTCAGCTGTCAAATACTACATAGCATTTTCAAACTCCCGAATGCCATTCAGGTCTGTGAGCCGAGGTGTCACAATACTTTTCATGGAGCCATTTTTTTTAAAATTAAAGGAATAGTCAAAAATTGGCCCTTTGTTTTTTTTTTTCAATCAAAGGATTTTATCTCCCCTTAATTAAAGGGGTACCCGATGCAAATAAGCCCCTTGCTCGCAGACCCCCACAACCCCCGGGTCCAGGTTGTGGGGAAGAGGCCCTTGTCCTCATCGCCATGGTGACACCCTCCCAATGCCGAGGGCCACGTGGCCTGGTATGGCGCAGGGAGGGGGGGGCGCTTGATCGTCCCCCCTTTTCCTGCCCTGCCAGGCCAGTGCTCGGAACAAGGGTGTGGTAGGAATGTTAGGGGAGACCCCACGTTCCCCCCCATTTTTTTGGGCTGGGGTCCCCCGAAAGGGTCTGGTATGAATTTTTTTTCCTCTTCTGCAAACTAAAAAAAAAATATATATTTTTTCTAATGCCACTTTGCTGCTACGAAAGTTCGTCCAAATCCCGAAACAAATGGAATTTCGGACCCGAATCCCGAAAAACGAAATAACGCAAAATCCGAATCAAAATGTAACAAAATAATTTTTTTGCCGGTGCACATGTCTAATATAGCAGTGATTTTAGAACTCCATTAATAGTCATTAGGTTAGGTTTTGCAATTAGCGCTAAAGCAATGAATGGTAATGCACTACCTTACATTGCGTTCCCAAAAAAGGGTCAGTCAGGTGCAGTCTAGAGTGCACCCAGGTACATTGCTGGCCCATTTAAAATGAATGAGCTGGCTATACACCAGTAGATTTTTCTTTTTGCTAAAATTAGGTACCTCGGCTTATATTCGGGACGGCTTATACTCGAGTATATACGGTACATTCCTTTTGAGAACATTCAATTTTGTAATAGTTAATGGGGTCAAATTGACAAATGACAATCAATTTCGACCAAAGTGACAATAAAAATCAAAGGAGCCGGATGAAACATTTTTCTCAAAAAAAACAAAATTCTAACAGTGAACGTGATTTTCGTTCGGGAAACTCCATTCATTCCACAATTGAATGCTATAACCAAGCAGAATTTCAAATTACATTCTACATGTCTCTGATAGCATTATTCTGATTCTTCATATGAAGATTTTTCATATGAAAGTTCATTCAAAAATCCAAGTATACTCAATCTTAGCACAACGCATTTCAACCCTTGTATGGGCTGACGCATGATGAGAACCCTTCTTAGAGATATGAGCTATATTTATCATGGTATCAAGAAAAAAGGCTGTGTGAATTGATTCTAT